GTATTTTGTGTCTGGCTTCTTTCACATAGCATAATGTTTTCAAGATTTGTTCATGTTGTAGAATGTATCAGTACTTCATTCCTTTTTATGGATGAATAACATTCCATTGTATGCATGTATCACATTTTATTTATCCGTTCATCAGTTGATAGACATTTGGGTTACTTCCACTTTTTGGCTATTATGAATAATGCTGCTTGAACATTTGCATATTAGATTTTTCATGAACATATGTTTTCAGTTCTCTCGGGTATATACATAGGAGTGGAATTGCTGGGTCATAGGGTAAACTCTGTTTAACTTTTTGAGGAACTGCCAAACTATACTATTTTACATACCCATTACCAGTGTGTAAGGATTCTAGTTTCTCCATACTCTCGCCAGTAGTTGTTATTGTTTGTCTTTTTTATTTTTTTTTTTTTTTGAGACAGAGTCTTGCTTTGTTGCCTAGGCTAGAGTGAGTGCCGTGGCGTCAGCCTAGTTCACAGCAACCTCAAACTCCTGGCTCAAGCGATCCTCCTGCCTCAGCCTCCCGAGTAGCTGGGACTACAGGCCATGAGCCACCATGCCGGCTAATTTTTCCTATATATATTAGTTGGCCAATTAGTTTCTTTCTATTTATAGTGAGAAGGGGTCTCCTCTTGCTCAGGCTGGTTTCGAACTCCCGACCTCGAGCAATCCGCCGCCGTCGGCCTCCCAGAGAGCTAGGATTACAGCGTGAGCCCACCGCGGCATGTCTTTTAAATATTAGAATTTTAGGCCGGGTGAGGTGGCTCATGCCTATAATCCTAGCACATCTGGGAGTCCGAGGCGGGGCGGATTGCTGGGATTTCAGAAGTTCAAAACCAGCCTGAGCAAGAGCAGAGACCCCGTCTCTACTATAATGGAAAGAATTTAATTGGCTAACTAAAAATATATACAAAAAATAGCCAGGCATGGTGGTGCATGCCTGTAGGTCGCCTACTCTGGGAGGCTGAGGCAGCAGGATTGCTTGAGCCCAGGGTGTCGAGGTTGCTGTGGGTACGCACGGGCACTCACTCTAGCCTGGGAACAAAGTGAGACTCTGTCTCAAAAAAAAAAAAAAAAAATTTTATTGTGGTAAAGTATACATAGCATAAAATTTACCATCTTAACATTTTTTAGTGTATAGTTCGTAATGTTAAGTACATTCACATTGTTGTGCAGCCATCTCCAAAACTCTCTTCATCTTGCCAAACTGAAACTGTACCCGTTAGACAACTCCTTATCCCTCCCTCACACTGACCCTTCCCAAATGCCATTTTGCTTACTAGCTATGGATTTTATTGCTACTGTCTCCAGGTGGTGAATTATACAGTATTTATCTTCTAGTGACTGGCTTATTTTACTGCTAATAATGTTCTTATTTTTTTGATTATACGCATCCTAGTGGATATGAAGTGGTATCCTATTTTGGTTTTGATTTGACTTTCCTAATGACTGAGCATGTTGAGCATTTTTTCATAACTCTATTGATCATTTGTATATCTTCTTTGGAGAAATGTCTATTTAAGTCTTTTGCCCATTTAAAAAATTGGGTTGTCTTTTATATTGAATTGTAAGAGTTCTTTATATAGCTGGATATTAGACCCTTATGAGAGATATGATTTGCACATATTTTCTTCCATTTTGTGAATGGCATGTTTGTTTTCTTAATAATGTCCTTTGACATACAAAAGTTTTTTGGTTTTTTTTGGCTGGGCGTGGTAGCTCCACGCTGTAATCCTAGCACTTTGGGAGCTGAGGCGGGCGGATTGCTCAAGGTCAGGAGTTCGAAACCAGCTGAGCGAGACCCCGTCTCTACAAAAATAGAAATAATTAATTGACCAACTAAAAATATAATAACAAAAATTAGCCGGCATGGTGGCGCATGCCTGTAGTCCCAGCTACTCGGGGCTGAGGCAGTAGGATCGCTGAGCCCCGGAGATTGAGGTTGCTGTGAGCGAGGCTGACGCCACGGCACTCACTCTAGCCTGGGCAACAAAGTGAGACTCTGTTCTCAAAAAAAAAAAAAAAAAAAAAGTTTTTTGTTTTTTTGAGACAAGAGTCTCACTTTGTTGCCCGGGCTAGAGTGAGTGCCGTGGCGTCAGCCTCGCTCACAGCAACCTTACACTCCTGGACTCAAGCAGTCCTTCTGCCTCAGCCTCCCAAGTAGCTGGTACTATGGGCATGCGCCACCATGCCTGGTTAATTTTTTTCTCTCTCTATATATTACACACACACACACACACACACATTAGTTGGCCAATTAATTTCTATTTATAGTAGAGATGGGGGTCTCGCTCTTGCTCAGGCTGGTTTTGAACTCCTGACCTCGAGCAATTCGCCCTCGGTCCTCCAGAGTGCTAGGATTTGGTGGAGCACCACATTGGCCAACACACAAAGTTTTTAATTTTGGTGAAATTCAATTTATTTATTTTTTCTCTTGTTGCTTGTGTTTGTATAATCTAAGAACCATTGCCTAATTCAGGGTTATGAATATTTACAACTGTGTTTTCTGCTAAGAGTTATAGTTTCAGCTCTTACATTTAGGTCTTTGATCCATTTTGAGTTAATTTTTGTATATGGTGTGAAGGAGGGGTCCAAATTCATACTTTTGCATGTGGCTCTCCATTTGTCACAGAATCATTTGTTGGCAAGACCTTTCCCACTGAATGGTCTTGATACCTTTTGTTGACAATTGGTCACCATAGGTGTAATTTATTGGATTCTCAATTTATTCCATTGATCTATATGGAATATAGTCATTACCCCACTGTTTAATTACTGTAGCTTTGTCATAAGTTTTGAAATTGGGAATGAGTGCTGCAACTAGTTTTTTTTAAGATTGTTTTGGCTATTCTGGGACTTATGAATTTTAGGATCATCTTATACATTTCCGCAAAAAATAACATTCAGAATTTTTTTTTTTTTTGAGATAGAGTCTCACTTTGTTGCCCAGGCTAGAGTGAATGCCATGGCATCAGCCTGGCTCACAGCAACCTCAAACTCCTGGGCTCTAGCGATCCTACTGCCTCAGCCTCCCGAGTAGCTGGGACTACAGGCATGTGCTACCATGCCCGGCTAAGGTTTTTTTTTTTTATATATATATATAAGTTGGCCAATTCATTTCTTTGGATTTTTAGTAGAGACGCAGTCTTGCTCAGGCTGGTTTCAAACTCCTGACCTTGAGTAATCCGCCTGCCTCAGCCTCCCAGAGTGCTAGGATTACAGGTGTGAGCCATCACACCCGGCCTAATTAGCTTCTTTTTTTCCCAGTTATCTGTTGATTTACTGTGAAGACAAAGCTTTGTTTCACTTAACACCACCTTCTTCACATGTACCCCACACTTACCATTCCCACATCCTTATTAGGTACAGCCCAAGCTTTATCAGAATTGTAAAAATTCTCAATATAAATCAGAGAATTCAAATGGCTTCATTGTTTTTTCATTGTTTTTCATTGGGGCCTTCTATTTTCTTTCTTTTTTTTTTTTTTTTTTTGAGACAGAGTCTCATTTTGTTGCCAGGCTAGAGTGAGTGCCTGGCGTCAGCCTAGCTCACAGCAACCTCAATCTCCTCGGCTCAAGTGATCCTACTGCTTCAGCCTCCCGAATAGCTAGGACTACAGGCATGCACCATCATGCCTGGCTAATTTTATATATATATTAGTTGGCCAATTAATTTCTTTCTATTTATAGTAGAGACGGGTCTCGTTCTTGCTCAGGCTGGTTTCAAACTCTTGACCTTGAGCAATCTGCCCGCCTCAGCCTCCCAGAGTGCTAGGATTACAGGTGTGAGCCACCACGCCCGGCCAGGCCTTCTATTTTCTTACCTCATTCTGGACCATTTTACTCTTTCTTAGCCTTCCTTTTATCATTTTCCTCTGAATTTCTTTTATTTTTTTTTATTTTTTATTTTTTTGAGATAGGATCTCTCTCTGTGACCTGGGCTAGAGTGCAGTAGCATCATCATAGCTCACTGCAGCCTCCAACTCCTGGCTTAAGCGATCCTCCCGCCTCAGCCTCCTGAATAGCTGGGACTACAGCTGTGCGCCCACTACACCTGGCTAATTTTTTGCTATTTTTGGGAGAACGAGATGGCATCTAGTTCTTACTCAGGCTGATCTTGAACTGACCTCTAGCTATCATCCTGCCTCAGCCTCCTAGAGTGGTAGGATTATAGGCATTAGGTACTGTGCCTGGCCTCATTTGGGCTCTTTTAATCTGGAAACTCATGTCTTAAGTCTTGAGAAACTTTCTTGTATTATATTTCTAATAATTTCTTTGCAGTTTCTCAAACTATGAATTGGATATTGGATCTCCAAGATTGATTCTCTAGTTTGTTTTTTCTGTCCATGTGTTGATCTCTTCTTTTTGTTTTACATTATAAGTTTTCTTTAAGCATTTTATTAAAAATTATCTGTTATTCTTTGTTTTGCGTTCCCTTTTTATAATATCTTGCTCTTCATGAATACATTGTCTTCTCATATCTCTGAGTATTTTTTTTAATCAGTTCACTTATATTAGTGGATTTTTAAGAGAAAATAGAGACAAATGCATTCATTCACTCTGCTGTTCTCTTGGAAGGTTTTTGTTTAGTGAAAAATAACTTTTAAGTAGTAGTACAATTAATGGCCGCCAGGAAATAATTTGCTATTAGATTATATTACTTGACTCCTGATATCAGATTATTTCTTCCTTAATTGGGAAGCCATACAAATATTTTATGATTATTCCAAATTCAAACTTTCATTTAATATCCAATTCAGCAACAATTATGTACTATTTGGTAAGACAGCATGAAATGAATAGGAGGGTACAATTTTTTTTTTATTTTTTTTATTTATTTTTTTTCTTTTTTTCTTAGCAGCATTAAAGTCTGGATATGGAGGGTACAATTTGAAGGAAAGTATACATGCAGAGAATGAAACACCTATCTTTGTGAGTGCTTTTATTGTAGATTATGTAAAGTAATGGAATCTTTTTGGTGTAATTTCATAGGATGATTTTTCAGGATTGTCACCGTATGAAAGAAAGAGACTGAAGAACATATCAGAAAATGCAAACTTTTTTGCTTCTCTTCAGTTATCTGAGGTTTGTGTGGAATTTGTAATTGCAACTAAGATGCCATTCCTCTTGTCAGTATGTCAATAAAATACTTACAAAGTCAGGTTTCATAGTGTCAGATGAGGGAGTGCAAAATTAGGAGCAGGTTTTGCACTTAACAGAAAGAGGTTGCCGTATTTCCTTGATTCTAAGGCATATTTTTTTACATTTTAATATTTTGAAATAGGCATTTTAAAATATAATTGGCAGCTTTCCCCATTTTTTTTTTGGTAGGGCATAAAATAATGGTGTCTTATGGTTGGTTGTCTTGGATAAAAAACAGGGTTATATTCCCAATTGTTGCTTTAAAGATGAAGGAGAAGTGGGAGGGGTGGGTTGAAGGATGTATGGCACAGGAATGTGGAACAGTTCTTTTTTCTTTTTAAATCTTACACTTTAAGAATAGATGGGAATCTGCTTTCTATAGGGAGCTTTAGGGATAAATGGCGAGAGCTGGGTGTAGTGGCTCACCTCTGTAATCCCAGCACTTTGGGAAGCTGAGACACAAGGATCGCTTGTGGCCAGGAATTCGAGACCAGCCTGGGCAACATAGCGATAACCTGTCTCTTAAAAAAAAAAAAAAAAAAAAGCCAGATAAATCAGATAAATGGCCAGATATATGCTAATGTTTTATAATCATTAAAATTAAAGGTATAATTTACATTGGTGTCTTCGCACTAGAGGTAAAACTTCTATGTGTGTGAGAATAGCTGCTTAGGAGGGTGTGATTAGGGCCCCCCCAAAGATATCAAACCTTTGGCTTTATTAATTAAATCAATTAATTAATTAAAATTAATTGATTTCTCTCAATATCAAATTTCCAAATATTCAATGTATGTTTGCATCTTATGGGGAGACAGGGTGAGTTAAATGAAGGAACTAAATTGTTTGAGTCACTAACAATTGAAAATCCATCAGAAATTTAGACAAAGGATCTCTGATTTTAGTTAACAGAAAATGTGATTTGATTTATAGAAGTATAACCTATAACTTTTATGGGAAACATCAAAGTAGGTTTGCTAGTAGTAGAAGTCAAACCTTTTAATTTTTTATAGTATATTTGATTAAATACTATGTCTAATCATGTAAACTCATTAGTAGCTTGGTCCAAGGTATCAGAATATTAGCATATTAGACAGTATTATATACTTGCCTTTATTATTGATAGTGTAATTGTCCCAAGAGCAGTTTTCCTATCTTGAGGATCTTTAGTTCCTGAATAGACCTTAGTTTAGTGTGGGTACAGTAGCAGATGCTTAACATTTTAACAGATAAGCTATGTTGTTATAACATTTTTTTGTGTATATATGTTTTGTATACTTTGCAGTCAGCTGCAAGGCTTCGTGAAATGATAAAGAAGAGACAACCTCCTGAATCTAAGAGGTAAAATACTTGGTTTACAATGCCTGGACCATGATATACTGCTGAGTTTTATAATTTGAAAAAAATGGTGTGGTGTAGTAAGCATATGAAACAGATCAGAAACTCTGTAATTATATATATATATATTATATATAAAATATTTATTTCCTTATTTCCTTAGTGGAGATGGGTTCTTGCTCTTGCTCATCTTGAACTCCCAACCTTAAATGATCCTCCTGCCTTGGCCTCCCAGAGTGCTAGGATTATAGGCATGAGCCATCTCTCTTAGCCAGAAACTCTATAATTTAATCTTAATCACTAAGATCTCTTTGGGAATGCTACCTTTTAATGGCTTTACAGTTCTCACCTTCATCAAAGGAATATGGAGCAAATAGATTCTAAAGCTGAATTTTGTTTATCTTTACTGTTGCTGTTTATAGAGAAAAATTTATTTCCTCTAAATTATTTTTGTCTAGAAAACTATTAAAGATTATTCTACTTCCTTTTTATTTTTCTAGCTATCTTTTTGCATCTCATTTTGTTTTTGCTTTCCCAGTCTTAGAATAAAGGAAGGGATTTAAGATTTATTAAACATCTGTGAAACATAGTGCAATGATCTAGCAATTTTGTACTATATTATTTAATTCTGACAATCATCATATGTGGTAGGTAATATATCCATTTTGTGAGTTAGAAAACAGGCTCAAAGAGGTAAAGTAATTTACCAAAGGTCAAAAGAAACCCAGGATTTCTTTACCTTGAATTATCTCCACTGCATTTTAGTAACATGCTCACACATAACTGAAGAAACTAAAGCTTTTGGGGTATTAGCGCATTTGCTTTTGTTTTTTTTTTTTTTTGAGACAAAGTCTCACTCTGTTGCCCGGGCTACAGTGCTGTGGTGTCAGCCTAGCTCACAGCAACCTCAGATTCCTGGGCTCAAGCAATCCTTCTGACTCAGCCTCCCGAGTAGCTGGGACTACAAGCATGTGCCACCATGCCCAGCTAATTTTTCTATATGTTTTTAGTTGTCCAGCTAATTTCTTTCTATTTTTAGTAGAGACGGATCTCATTCTTACTCAGGCTGCTCTCGAACTCCTGAGCTCAAATGATCCACCTGCCTCGGCCTCCCAGAGTGCTAGGATTATAGGCGTGAGCCACCGTGCTCATCCTAGCTTATTTGTTTAGTGGTAGATGCTAATGAAATATAGCCTCATTTAATTGGTTTGATTCTATAATATTAGGTCAATTAGCTTGAGAAAAGCTAAACCTTTAATCATGGCCAGGTATTCTCAAATGTGAAAAGTTGTTATAAGGAACATTGGGCTGGATGCAGTGGCTCACGCCTTATAATCCCAGCACTTTTGGCGACCAAGGTGGGAGGATCACTTGGAGCCAGGAATTCAAGACCAGTCTGGGCAAGATAGCAAGACTCCATCTCTACAGAAAAATAGAAAAAATTAGATCGGGACGGTGCTGCAACCTCTAGCCGCTCAGCTACTTGGAGAGGCTTGAGGCAGGAGGATGTCTTGAGCCCAGAGTGTTCGTTGTAAGACTGGTAATGTTCATGGGTAGATGACACTACTGCCCTTAATCCAGGGCAACAGAACAAGACCCTGTCTCAAAAACAACAAAAAAAGAGTAACATCGTTAACGCTGGAAAAACAATAGTGCTGATCCAAGCCAGTGATATAGAATTGGTTATATTTTTTATTAGCCGAGATTGGTGATTTGTTCATAAATCACCTAAAAGTTCCAGTACTTACAGTTGTATGAGTAATAGAATCAGGCTGGGTGCTATGGCTCATGCCTGTAATCCTAGCACTCTGGGAGGCTGAAGCAGGTGGTTTGCTCAACATCAGAAGTTCGAAACCAGCCTGAGCAAGAGTGAGACCCCGTCTCTACTAAAAATAGAAAGAAATTAATCGGCCAACTAAAAATTCATAGAAAAACTTAGCCGAGCATGGTGTCACATGCCTGTAGTCCCAGCTACTCGGGAGGCTGAGGCAGAAGGATCGCTTGAGCCCAGGAGTTTGGGGTTGCTGTGGGGTAGGCTGATGCACACGACACTCTGCCCGGGCAACAGAGTGAGACTCTGTCTCCAAAAAAAAAAAAAAGTAGTAGAATCAAGTTGGTAGTGTGGAAGTTATGTAATGTGGAGGAAAAAGCAGAGCCTTTGAAATTTAGCAAATGTGGGTTCAAGTTTTGATTCAGCCACTTATGGCTATGGTATAATGTTTCACAATTTACATAATTTTTTCCCTTTTCTGTAAAGTTGGCATTATGCCAATCCAGAGGAATTGAAATTTTAAAAAATTATGAAATATACATATAAAAAGTACATATAGCATTAGTCTAGCTGAAAAATTACAGTAATATAAGCCCTATCCATGTACCTGCCATCCAGATTAATAGAAATTATATATCTCTGAAGGCCCATGTATACTCTGTCCTCCTGATATAATATAATGCTGAATTTTGTGATAATCATTCCTTGCATTTACTTTTCTTTCTTTTTTTTTTTTGAGACAGTCTTGCTCTGTTGCCCAGTCTAGAGTGCCATTGAGCAATCTGCCCGCCTTGGCCTCCCAGAGTTGCTAGTATTATAGGCATGAGCCACCGCACCTAGCCTGCATTTACTTTTCATTTTACCACTTTATAGTTTTCAAACACTATATTGTTTAGTTTTGTCTGTTTTTGATATATAAATGATGGCATTTTTATATTCTTCTGAGTTTTTTTTGTTTTGCTCATCTTTATATCTTTTTTTTTTTTTTTTTGAGACAGAGTCTCCCTGTGTTGCCCAGGCTACGGTGAGTGCCAGTGGCGTCAGCCTAGCTCACAGCAACCTCAAACTCCTGGACTCAAGTGATCCTCCTGTCTCAGCCTCCCGAGTAGCTGGGACTACAGACACGAGCCACCATGTCCGGCTGATTTTTATTTTAATTTTATTTATTTATTTATTTATTATTTTTAGATTGGAGGGGTCTCGCTATGTTGGCCAGGCTGGAGTGCAGTGGCTATTCACAGGCGCGATCCCACTACTGATCAGCACGGGAGTTTTGACCTGCTCCGTTTCGACCTGGCCGGTTCACCCTCCTTAGGCAACCTGGTGGTCCCGCTCCCGGGAGGTCACCATATTGATGCCGAACTTAGTGCGGACACCGATCGCATAGCGCACTACAGCCAGAACTCCTGGCTCAAGCGTTCCTCCCATTCAGCTCCGAGTAGCTGGGACTACAGGGCGCCGACCAGCGTCCGGCTGATTTTTACTATATACTATATTTAGTTGGCCAATTAATTTCTTTCTATTTTTATGGTAGAGACGGGGTCTCGCTCAGGCTGGTTTTGAACTCCTGACCTTGAACAATCCACCCGCCTCAGCCTCCCAGAGTGCTAGGATTACAGGCGTGAGCCACCGCGCCCGGCTCATCTTTATATCTTTATGCTTTTAAATTTGTCCATGTTGATGTGTATAGTTTTATTTCATTAATTTTTTCTGCTGTATTATATTCCACTGTGTGAATGTACTATGGAGTTTATCTATTCTGTTGTTAATGGACAGTTGAGTTGTTTCCAAATTTTCATTACTCCAGAGTGCTGCTCTGAACATTCTTAACTCTCTTAGTGCTCATGTATGAGAGTTTCTCTAGGAATGGAATTCTCTAGAAGTGGATTTCTCAAAGGATTGTATGGGATCCCAAATTATTCTATATGGTTAGGCTTTTTTGGAGATTAAATGAGAGATTGAATGCTTAATACAGTTTCCAGCATATAGTATATTTTGAGTAAATAACATTTATTACTAATTTTCCTGAACTAATGTGGACTATAACTGAGAATTTGAATGTGAATTTTTGGAAGTAGTTTCACAGGCTTCTCTTTCTTCAGCATTTTTAGATGAACTACTTTTTTTAAAATGAAAAAATTGTGCATAAAAAGTAGGGGATGGATATGATTAACAAAGTAAACTACGGTATATGGAAGGGAATGCAATGAAACATTTAGTTTTCTTACCATCCTAGACCTTAGTTTTCCGGGCCTCCTTTCTAGAAGAAACCACTGTTAATAGTTTTATGTATATTCCTCCCTAGGTAAACCTCAGTATGTACAAACGTATTTGTATATGTAACCTTTTCATAAACATGTACTGGAACTTGTTTTTGCTTATAACTTCAAGTTCATTTCAGCAGCACACAAAAATCTATATCATTCTTTCTTATGGCTGCATATTATTCTATTAGATATATGTGCCATAATTGACTCAGTGTCTTTCACCTCCCCATGATGAATACATAGGTTTATGTATAAGACTTTATATTAAAATTAGTGTGGCAGCTGGGTGCAGTGCTCATGCCTGTAATCCCAACACTTTGGGAGGCCAAGGCTGGATGATCACTTGAGGCCAAGAGTTCGAGACCAGCCTGGGCAACATAGTGAGACCCTATTTCTAAAAAAATAAAGAAATTAGCCAGACATAGTGGCATGCACCTATAGTCCTAGCTACTTCAGAGCCTGAGGCAGGAGGATTGCTTGAGCCCAGGAATTTGAGGTTACAGTGAGCTATGGTTGCGCTACTGTACTCCAGCCTGGGTGATAGAGACTCTGTCTCTACAAAAATAAAAATATATAAAATCAGTGTGGCTGTGTGAGTGTGATTATATATACGCAATGTGCAGAGATATCTGTGAGATACATTCCTAGAACTTATATCCTTAATACTGTCAAATACATTTTACTGTTTAACGAGTATAACATGAGTTTTTCTCCATTCCTTTAGAAAGAAACCTAAGAAGACAACAAATGAGATTGGATGTAGAAGGTCGATGCGATTACTAAATGTTGATCCTTCAGGAGTTTCATTACCAGCAACTCCAACACAGCCGTCATTGGTAGCAGATGATGAAACTGTAAGGAAAAGTGCAAATACAGTATATTAATTTAATATAAAATACTGAAAAGTTTGAAGTGTTGAAACTGGACTAAAAGTTTGTAAATTATGTTTAATTTATATTTAATTACTTTAATACTTCAATGTGGTATGGTTTAATGAGTAAGATTTCAAAATCATAAAGGTGCTTCTTTGCTGCAGTTTTTTTTCTTTTCTTTTTTTTTTTTTTTTTTTTTGAGACAGTCTCGCTTTCTTGCCTAGGCTAGAGTGAGTGCCGTGGCGTCAGCCTAGCTCACAGCAACCTCAAACTCCTGGGCTTAAGCAATCCTACTGCCTCAGCCTCCCGAGTTGCTGGGACTACAGGCATGAGCCACCATGCCCGGCTAATTTTTTTTATATATATATATTAGTTGGCCAATTAATTTCTTTCTATTTTTTTTATAGTAGAGACGGGGTCTCGCTCAGGCTGGTTTTGAACTCCTGACCTTGAGCAATCCGCCCGCCTCGGCCTCCCAGAGAGTGCTAAGGATTACAAGCGCTGTAAGCCACAAGCTCTTTTCGCGCCCGCGACACTATATTTTTTTTGACGTTTTTTTTTTTTTTTTTTTTGAGACAGTCTCACTCTGTTACCCACACTAGAGTGTGTGGTGTCAGCATGGCTCACAGCATCCTCAAACGCTTGGGCTCAAGCAATCCTCCTGCCTCAGCCTCTTGTGTAGCTAGGACTACAGGCATGTGCCACCATGCCCAGCTAATTTTTTCTATTTCTAGTAGAGATGCTGTCTTGCTCTTGCTCAGGCTGGTCTCAAACTCCTGGTCTCAAGCTATCCAGAGTGCTAGGATTACAGGCATGAGCCACTGTGTCTGGCCGCTTGCTGTAATTTAATTTTATACTATCAGTGAGTAGTTGTCTTTAACAAATTTATTATTTAAATGAGATTATAATTATATTTTTTTATTTGAGAGCACCTACTGTTTTTAATACTTTATATCTAAGTGGTTAATTGTAAATAGGAAGATAGCACTAATTATGCTGATGGTTTGGGAACTAATTGCAACTCAAGGAGCTCTGGGAAGCTGGGTGTGGTGGCTTGTGCCTGTAATCTCAGCACTTTGGGATGCTGAGGTAGAAGGATCATTTGAGGCCAGGAATTCGAGACCAGCCTGGCAACATAAGAAGACCTTGTCTCTACAAAGTGAAAAAAAAAATTAGCTGGGCATGGTGGTGCATGCCACTAGTTCTAGCAACTTGGGAAGCTGAGATGGAAGGATTGCTTTGAGTCCAGGCGTTCAAAGTTGCAGCAAGCTATGATTGAGCCACTGAATTCCAGCCTGGGCAACAGAGCAAGACGCTGTCTCCTAAAAAAAAACGGTGCTATGGGAAGCTACATAGAAGAGTGGTTTTCAAAATTTTTTGAACCCTCATTCCACAATAAGAAATATATTAACATTGCAACCCATTACCACACATATGCAGACACAACTGAAATGACAGTTTGAGAAATGATACCTTTTTTACCACATGGTATTCTCTGTTCTCATTCACTAAAGTAAATTGCTGGTCGGGCGAGGTGGCTCACGCCTGTAATCCTAGCAATCTAGGAGGCCGAGGCGGGCGGATTGCTCGAGGTCAGGAGTTCGAAACCAGCCTGAGCAAGAGCGAGACCCCGTCTCTACTATAAATAGAAACAAATTAATTGGCCAACTAATATATATGGAAAAAATTAGCCGGGCATGGTGGTGCATGCCTGTAGTCCCAGCTACTTCGGGAGGCTGAGGCAGCAGGATTGCTTGAGTCCAGGAGTTTGAGGTTGCTGTGAGCTAGGCTGACGCCCCGGCACTAACTCCAGCCTGGGCAACAAAGCGAGACTCTGTCTCAAAAAATAAATAAATAAATAGAGTAAATTCCTGGTTATAATATATTTACATGATTTCACATACATAAATTAGTTACAGCCTATGCTTGAAAAACACTGGTGTGGCATAGTATCACTGAGTAATGAGTTAAACTGATTTGAGTCAATTCCCAGCTTCTCTAGTTATTGACAGTGTGACTTTGGGCAAGTTAACTTATTACTTCACAGGATACCTGGCATTCATTTATTGAAAAATTATTTTGCGTGCCCATGATGTGCTACTACTGTTGTTGATATTGAAAGTGAAATAGTGAAAAAACAAATATCCTTCCCTTCCCTGAGTTATATTCTAGGGCATGGAGACAAACAATGCTTTTAAAAAATTTTTTATAGCAGCCTTTGTTACCACCTGGGCCTCTAGAAATGGCTCCTAAAAATCGAGATGACAACAAGGAACTATTTAAAGGATTTCTGGAGACATGGACAGCAATGAGCAAGGTATCACTTGGGAGGCTTACTGCTTTTAGAATCATCTGTTAGGGAAATTTCAATATATATTAACCTGGTATTTTCATCTCTCCCATTGTTTCAGACAAGTAGTAAGAATACTGAGAAAGGGTTATCTAGCATTAAAAGGTAAGTTGAAATGCCTTGCCTTTGTTTTACATCTTGTGAGAAGTTTGAGTTATAAAGACCGTCGTATACCATTATAGGAAATTTTCCTGTGAGGTGAAATATTTCCATTCTAATGAGTGTTGTCTTTGTTTTCATATATTTCTTCTCCATTGTTGCCACATTCAATACCACTATGATATGTTTCATGAGGGCAGGGATTTTGTCTTAATAAGCAGAATAGTGCCTGGTGCGTTGTATATATTTGTTCAGTGTTGAATAGATGAATGAATTCACATACATTTTTACTTTGTTATATTCTAATATATATATAATTTTATGCTATGCCTTTTTCATTTGTGCTTGCATGTTACTGGAGTCTTTAAAATTATTGAATAATTGCATAATATTCCATTGAGTAGGTGGAATTTACTTAACCTCGTCCCACCTGTTTGGTATTTGAGTTTTCGGTTTTGTAAAAATTTTTTGTAGGCCGGGCGCGGTGGCTCACGCCTGTAATCCTAGCACTTTGGGAGGCCGAGGCGGGCGGATTGCTCAAGGTAAGGAGTTCGAAACCAGCCTGAGCGAGACCCCGTCTCTACCAAAAATAGAAAGAAATTAACTGACCAACTAAAAATATATATACAAAAAAAATTGGCCGGGCATGGTGGCGCATGCCTGTAGTCCCAGCTACTTGGGAGGCTGAGGCAGGGGGATCGCTTGAGCCCAGGAGATTGAGGTTGCTGTGAGCGAGGCTGACGCCATGGCACGCACTCTAGCCTGGGCAACAAAGTGAGACTCTGTCTCAAAAAAAAAAAAGAAAAATTTTTTTGTAGAGAGGTTGCCCAGACTGGTCTTGAACTCTTGGGCTCAAGCGATATTCCCATCTTTGCCTCCAAAGTGCTGAGATTATAGGTATAAGCCACCATGCCTGGCCCCCCTCCTTTTTTTCCTAAGAGATGAGGTCTCATTCTGTTGCCTAGACTGGAGTGCAGTGGTGTGATCATAGCTCACTGTGGCTTCAAACCCCTGGGCTCAAGTGATCTTCCTGTCTCAGTCTCCCAAGTAGCTGGGACTACAGGCACATACCAGCATGCTGGCTAATTTTTTTCACTTTTTTAGAGATGGGGTCTCACTATGTTGCCCAAGCTAGTCTTGAACTCCTGGCCTCAAGTGATCCTCTTGCCTCAGGCTCCCAAGTTGCTTGGGCTATAGGTGTGAACCATTATACCTGGCTCCTCTGGTTTTGTGTGTTTGTTTGTTTGCGTGTGTATTTGATGAAGTGAATTTGTGTGATAATGGGTTTTTTCCTTAGGATAGATTTCCGGAAGTGGGACTAATGAGTCAAATATTGTGTACATTTTTATGGTGTTTAGTATACATTACTGAATTGTTTTCCAAAAACCTCTTCCCTTCCAAAAATCTTATATGAATTATGCTGCCATGAGCAATGTATGTGAGTAGGGTGTATGTTTAACGGTAGCCTATTATTAATAGTTTTGGTGTTATTAAAATTATCAAGGGTAATTTTATAAGAGAAAAATAGTATCACATTGTTTAATTTGATTTCCTTGGTTAACATGAGGTTGAGTACTTTCCTACATTTATTTACTAATTGTGATATTTCTTTTTTGACTCATGTTTTACTTATTTTGACTATTGAGATTAGTTTTCTTATAAAATTTAACTTTTTAATTTTCTTAGCTACAAAGGTAATTTAAATGGCATGGTCCTTAGTGAAGATACTGTTCAAAAAGTTACTAAAGGCCCAGTATTCTCTTTGGCTATCCACCCATCAGAAACTAGAACTTTGGTAGCAGCTGGGGCCAAATTTGGACAAGTTGGACTTTGGGATTTGGTAAGTTATTAGTAATTTTTTGAAGATATTAAAATTTGAAGCAAATAGTCTAGAAGAGAATAGGCTAGAGCCATGTGTTTATAAATGTTGCTTGAAGCTTATAGTTTTGTGCTTTATGATTCCAAGTTTTAGAAATCTGAAAGAATTTAAATTTGCTTTATAGAACTTTAACATTTTTAGCTTGAATATCATTAGCCATCTGGGCATGCATTAACTGCCAGGAGGCTTTATTAAAACTTTAAATGTATATATGAGAAGATCACACAAAGCTCTTAGTTTTCTAGTTATGTTTAAAATATGGTCTGCTGTGGTCTGAATGTTTTTGTGACCCCCAAAATTTGTATGTTGAAATACCCCTCATGGTGATGGTATTAGGAGGTAGGGCCTTTGGGAGGTGATTAGGTCATGAATGGGATTAGTGACCTTTTTTATAAAAGAAGCCCAAGAGAGACCACTGCCCTTTCCACCATGTGAGGATACAGCTAGAAAGTACCACCTGTGAACCAGAAAGTAGGCCCTTACCAGGCACTTAATCAGCTAGAGCTTTGGTCTTGGTTTTCACAGCCATCAGAAATGTGAGAAATAAATTTTTGTTGTTTATAAGGCATTCAGTTTATGGTATTTTATTATAGCAGTCTGAATGGACAGTCTCTAAGCTGGATCAAAATGTCTTCCCAGGGAACTGCCTGGGACGATCCCTGTCATCTTTTGATGAGTCAGAAACAGATACTGAATTCCATTCATTGTGCATGTAGTTCTGCATTAAGGGATTTCAGTAGTTACAAAATTAAGAAAAGCCAACTTTATGTTCTCTGAATTTATTTTCTAATTGGGGAAGTAGAACAAAGACATGAAAAATACCATAAGGACAATTAAAGGAGATGAAGAAACAATGGTGACTTGAAGCTAGTTGGGGTTTATAAAAAAATTTTGCAGGTGTGAAGACAGAAAAACCACAAATACTCTCTTGTTTTAGGATCATAGCTTCTCTCTTATTTAATAAGATGTGAGTTGGGGTAGGAGGTGAAAAGATTTAGCAAAGAAAACTGAAGCAGAGAAGTGGGAAGAAGATCAGAATAGAAGACGAGATGAGTTTCAAGGATGGGAGGTTGGCAGGGCCTCTTGCAGAGAAGTCAGAAAGAATGGGATCAAAGAAAAGGACATTGGTTTTGAAAATAAGGTCCCATTCATGAGTTGAGAGAATAACTTTGATGATGAGTTAAGGAAGGAACACAGCCTTTAGGAGATTAAGAAAGTATGAGATGGTGGAAGAAGTGGAAGCAATGGATAAAGACTACTTCTTGAAGAATTTTGAAAAGGAAAAATTGAGAATTAGCATTGTTATGTGAAGATCTTTTTAGGGTGGGTTGATCTGTACAGAGTTGAAGACATATATATAGAAAAGTCCCTTTTTCATATCTTTCCTGGTGACTCCAAAAATCTATATTACTAAGTCTCTGTAGTCCAGTATTTCCATCAACCTTCTAATTTTCCAAGACATGTGGCCATCTTATTAACAGATTCAACAAACCTAAGAGCAATATCATTTTGCTTGTCCTGTGCTCATGCCCTAGATCTCCCAGTTTTTAAAAAAGTGTACTTTTTTTTTTTTTTTTTGGAGCCAGAGTCTCACTCTGTTGCCTGGGCTAGAGTGCTGTGGCATCAGCCTAGCTCACAGCAACCTCAAACTCCTGGGCTGAAGCCCTCCAGCAATCCTTCTGCCTCAGCCTCCCGAAGTAGCTGGGACTACAGGCATGTACCACAATGCCCGGCTAATTTTTTTCTATATATTTTTAGTTGGCCTATTAATTTCTTTCTATTTTTAGTAGAGATGGGGTCTCGCTCTTGCTCAGGCTGGTTTTGAACTCCTGACCTTGAGTGATCCACCTGCCTCAGCCTCCCAGAGTGCTAGGATTACAGGCGTGAGCCACTGTGCCTGGCCAAAAAGTATACTTTATTGAGGTATAATTTACATATAAAATCCACCCATTTTGAATGTATAATTTAATGATTTTTAATAAGTTTACTGAGTTGTGTAACTATCACAATCCACTTTTAGAACATTTTTGTCATCCCTATAAGATTTTTTATGCTTGTATATTGATTGATTGATTGATTGATTGACAGGATTTCACTCGGTTGCCTGGGCTAGAGTGCAGTGTCATCATCATAGTTCACTACTACCTCAAACTCCTGGGCTCAAGCAATCCTCCTGCCTCAGCCTCCTGAGTAGCTGGGACTACAGGCATGCGCCACCACACCCAGCTAATTTTTCTGTTTATGGTAGAGACAGAGTCTTGCTCTTGTTCAGGTTGGTCTTGAACTCCTGAGCTCAAGCAATCCTCCTGCCTCGGCCTCCCAGAGTGCTAGGATTACAGGTGAGAGCCACTGCGCCTGGCCTGACAGAGTACTTTTAAAACAATTATTTTGTGCCAAGACCAAATACCTTGTGAAAATTATACTGAGAATGATAACGTTATATAGAAGCCTACTTCAGGAAGCAAAGTGGTAATGGTATTGATACTGGTTTTGGAAGTAATTATGCTATGTGTGAAATAAAGAGTAGATTTCTCATTTCCTGAGGATTTCATAAACTGAAGTCATAACAGTAATTTATAAATTAGTTTGCTAGTTACAAAAAGCTGGACACTGTTAAAATTAATGTGACTTGATATTATTGAACTGAAAATTAGAAAAAGTATGTTAGTGACAGTATAAAGTTTACTCGGACTTTCTGAATGGGAGAGTGGGTTCAATTACATTACAGGCTAAGAAAAGACAGTATAGTCCAGATGTAAATACTCTAATGATATAACAACAGCAAATATTATTCATTTTCACTAGTTTTTGTCTCTCTCCCCACCCGAAACTCTCTTTCAGACCCAGAAACCTAAAGAAGATGCAGTTTATGTTTTTCAGCCCCATAGTCAGTCAGTTAGCTGTCTTTACTTCTCACCTGCCAATCCAGCCCACATATTGTCACTGAGCTATGATGGCACATTACGCTGTGGAGATTTTTCCAGGGGGATTTTTGAAGAGGTAAATATTAATGTGTTTACATGTTAACCTCAGATGATATTCTGGATTCTTTATGAAATGCCACATGAATGATTATTATAGCAGCCACATTGAGAGAAGTCATATAGCATAGGGACTTTTAGAACTATCCTGCTGCCTAAGTTCAAATCCCAGACCATCTTTAACTAGTTGTGTGCCCTTGACAAGTAACTTAATGTCTTTGCTGCCTCACTTCCCTTTGTTGTGAAATGAGATAGTAACAGTATCTACCTTATAAGGTTGTCATGAGGATTAAATGAATTAATGTAGGTAAAGTACTTAGAGCCTGGCATATAGTGTTTGCTCTTATTAATTTTCTTTTGCAAAAAGCTTTTAAATAAAATAACATGTTTCTATTTTTAGGCTTAACACTTGTACATCTTTATCCAGAACAAAAATAGGAATGTTATTATACTTTTTCATCATCCTGGCCTTTGTGGACATGCATTTTGTGGGGACGAGTCTTATGCATGACAAAACAAGATGATAAATTAATTACGGCCGTGAGTGCAGTGGCTCATGCCTGTAATCCTAGCACTCTGGGAAGCCCAAGCAGGAGGATCCCTTGAGGTCAGGAATTCAAGGCCAGCCTGAGCAAGAGCGAGACCTCGTCTCTACTAAAAATAGAAAAATTAGCCAGGTGTGATCACATGCGCCTGTAGTCCCTGCTACTTGGGAGGCTGAGGCAGGAGGATCGCTTGAGCCCAGACATCTTGCTCTATCACCTGGGCTAGAGTGCAGTGGCGTCATCATAGCTCACTGCAACTTCAAAGTCATGGGTTCACATGATTCTTCTGCCTCTGTGCCCCGAGTAGCTGGGATTACAGGCATGTACCACCACACCTGGCTAATTTTTTCTGTTTTTAGTAGAGACAGGGTCTGGCTCTTGCTCTTGCTCAGGCTGGTCTTTTTTTTTTGAGACAGAGTCTCCCTGTGTTGCCCAGGCTAGAGTGAGTGCCATGGCGTCAGCCTAGCTCACAGCAACCTCAAACTCCTGGGCTGAAGCAATCCTCCTGCCTCAGCCTCCCAAGTAGCTGGGACTACAGGCATGTGCCACCATGCCCGGCTAGTTTTTTCTATATATATTAGTTGGCCAATTAATTTCTTTCTATTTTTTTATAGTAGAGACGGGGTCTCGCTCAGGCTGGTTTTGAAATCCTGACCTTGAACAATCCAACCGCCTCGGCCTCCCAGAGTGCTAGGATTACTGGCGTGAGCCACCGCGCCCAGCCTTAGGCTGGTCTTGAACTCTTGACCTCAAGCAATCCTCCTGTCTTGGCCTCCCAGAGTGCTAGTATTATAAACATGAGCCACCTGAACATTTTTTTCTTGATATGGATTTTAATCTTTGTGAAATTTAGGATGGCTTAGATGTAGATTTTCATCCTTTGTCTTATTTTGAATGGGAGTTTTAACATTTTTAGAGGTACTCAGTTTAAGAGCAACCTGTATGTGACATACAATGCAGAGAACACTGTACTTATCACTAAAGTTATTTTGTAAATACTAATTGGTGGTCTAATTTTATGTGTTAATTTTTTTTTTTTTTTTTTTTGAGGCAGAGTCTCACTGTGTTGCCTGGGCTAGAGTGCCATGGCATCAGCCTAGCTCACAGCAACCTCAAACTCCTGGGCTCAAGCAATCCTCCTGCCTCAGCCTCCCAAGTAGCTGGGACTACAGGCATGTGCCACCATGCCCGGCTAGTTTTTTCTATATATATTAGTTGGCCAATTAATTTCTTTCTATTTTTAGTAGAGATGGGGTCTTGCTCTTGCTCAGGCTGGTTTCGAACTCCTGACCTTGAGTGATCCTCCCGCCTCCCAGAGTGCTAGGATTACAGGCATGAGCCACCACGCCTGGCCCCATTATTGTGTATCTTGAGTATGCTTCCACAAAGCACATATACTTACAAGACTATAGATAAAGATTTTTTTCTTCCCTTCTTTACACTAATAGATTCATACTACACACATAGCCTTTTGCAACTTGCTTTTTACAATTAATAGTCTATATTGGACAGTTAGTAATGTAAAACTACCTCATTCTTTTTAACATTGCATGGTATTTCAAAGTAGAGATGTACCATTATTTATTTAACCAGATGTCTGTTGGTGGATATTTAGGTTGCTTCTTTTTGCTATTGTAATAAACATTCTTGTAGCAGCCATCATTATATATCTCTTAGTGAAATTATTGGGTCAAAGAGTATAAGTATTAAATATTTTGATAGATGTAGCCTGATTAACTATCAAAAAAGTTTTATCTATTTACTTTTCTACCAAGAGTAGATGAGCATTCAGCCATGTATCTTAGACCTGGTTGACATAGTTACCTTGTATATTAGGATATAATTTCAATTGTATAGAATTTGGATTCAATTCATTTTCTGGTAAATTTCACAAGGTAGATCTGGAACTCAGTTTTACTGGGTTTAAGAGATTTGGGATGTAGCCCTGACATGGGTAGATGGGCCATTTGATGGTAGGGAAGCCTCATAGCTGATCAGTGCCTTTGTTTCTATTTATAAAAATTTTACAGGTAGGACGGGCATGGTGGTTCACTCCTGTAATCCTGACACTCTGGGAGGCGGGAGGATCACTCAAGGTCAGGAGTTTGAAACCAGCCTGAGCAAGAGCAAGACCCTGTCTCTACTAAAAATAGAAAGAAATTTATTGGCCAACTAAAAATTTGTATTAAAAATATCTGGGCATGGTGGCGCATGCCTGTAGTCCCAGCTACTTGGGAGGCTGAGGCAGTAGGATTGCTTGAGCCCAGGAGTTTGAGGTTGCTGTGAGCTAGGCTAGAGCAGATACGGAAAACAAAATGTTTATTCTTCAGTATTCCTTCACTACTTATTAAATCCAAAGAATTTCTCATTTTCCAAAAAAAAACATCACCTCAAGACAAACCCTACAATATAGACCAACGAGGAAAATTATTTACCCTTTGGGATCACAAAGTCAATACTCTTTATCAATCGCAACTAAATCTAAGTATCATGACATTAAAAGCATAAATCATAAATTTACCAAGATACATACCTCAATCCTGCATGGATAAAATACTGTCTATGTACTCGGGTGGACATGAATAGTTCTTATTTTTGTCAAGAAGAATTGATAAGTTCTCAAAGAAGTTCCCCGGTGTCCGTCTATCTACCAGTGACATATTTCCATCCCAGTGTGCTACTATTAAAGTAGAGGCATCTCTCTGCCAAGAAGTCAAAGGAAGAAAAGCTACTTCCTTCATTTCTACACCACTAAGAGTATAAATAACAATCAGCTTATATACATTCTTCTTTTAAAAAAGTCAATGCATAAATTCTTTAGTAAAAGTGTTACAAAACACTTTAACTAAATAACCTCATTTATCTTCCCATCATACCCATTAGGAAGCATAGGACAAAATGGAAACAAAATCAGGGTACTGAGGATATCTATTACCTCAAGCATTTATCATTCTGTGGTTAGGAACATTTTAAGTCCTCTCTTCTAGCTATTTTGAAATATACAATCCATTGTTCTTAACTATAGCACCCTACTCTCCTATCCAAACGTTAGAACTTATTCTTTCCATCTACCTGTAAAAAACATTTTTTTTTTTTGAGACAGAGTCTCATTCTGTTGCCCTGGCTAGAGTGCTGTGGAT